GTTGAGTAAAAGGCCTGAGGGGCGAAGGATCGCCCCAGGCACGCAACTTGGTGGTGAAAACGTCCGCCCGAAGCGCCCTGCTGTAAGCCAGGCGTAAATCCTACCGCAAGGATTCTGGTTTCCCAGAAGAGCAAAACTTTTATAGAAGAACAGTGGTGGTGTGGGCGGTGGCAAGATCGGCCTACATCACCCTAGCGAAGCAGGGGAATATTTTCCCCATCTTGAAGTTGGAGGACTGAGGCAAAGAGATGGAGGCAGGAAGTCCATAAAAGCAGCAATGGACTGAGTCTAGGTGTCTTGAAGTCTAAACCCGTAGCTCAGCCGCTCTTTTCTAGATTATGGATTCTCTAGCTGGAAAATTCTCTAAGTCTCATTTTCACAAAAATTAGCATTTTTTAAATTATTATTTATTATGTAAAACAGCCATCATTGTAACATGCATGCCCAACTTAGTAAGGTTGGGGCTTTTGGTTTCTCCTTCACATTACTACGGAGCCAAAAGAGGACTGCAGCCACTTCTAGGTTCACAAAACAGGACTGACATGGAAGCTGTTGCTCTTCCTGCCAGTGGGTGTCTTTTCCTTAGCACTAAAGCAGGCACAAGACTGTGGCTTTATCTGAAAAACACATGAGCAACATTTTGGCTGAACTGGTCATAAGGTTTCAGAAAGAACATCTCCGCTTTTTCGGATGGCTTGCTAAAAGAGACCACTGCAGGCACTCTGCAGACTCTGGAAGACATTGACCTTTCTTTCCTTGGACTCAATTCACATTTTTCACTTCATGGTCATGTGGGATTATTATCTGTAATTGAAAGTAAAAGTGTAGATTAAGGGAAAAATCCGCACCAGAACTCAATTATACAGCAAATTCTGTGGCTGAGGAATTAAGAGAATATATTCGGTCCTCATTAAACATTATTTCTGAAATGAATGTTAATTAAAGAAGGCTGAAGATGCAGGCTAGATTGATGAAGACAAACAGAGCAATCTCAGACTGTTGCAAAGACAATGTTTCCCCCAGCGGAGACAGAACGGATGGCTAGTCTTACTCAGATTGCATCTCTTGAGAGGACGATTTATAATGTACAAGACAGGAGAAATTTATTTGCTAACATATGGAAAACATTTATGGGCTCTACTGAGGATCTGGAATTAAAGAAACACAACTACATATTGTTAAAACTTCTAAATGGAGATTTCATTTTAGAAATAGCGTGTTTTCCCTGAAGTCCCTGACATCTATTTCTACATACTTTTGTTTTCTGCTCTGCTAGGTATGGCTTTCTGAATAGAGGTTTTTATCAGTTTGTTTGGTAACTACAGGTCTCCTCCACCGGAAAACTATTAGATGGCCAAGCCCTGTTTTTGAAGATACAACCCATGCTCCAGAGTGATGGCCACGAGCATGTGCCGCAGCGATGGGCGAGGTACCGCTGCCTGCATCAGTTTGTCGGGACTGTGAAGGTACGGCCACGGGAGGGGACAAGGCCAGCAGCACCAGCAACGCTTCCCAAGCGACGCTTGCACGGCCACAGCTGCAGATAATTCACCCCCTTAAAAAAACAAAAAAAATCCCAGGACATGGAAACGATGCTGCATCAACCTGTGCAAGACCAGCAGTAGGAAACATGAGGACAGAGAAAGCTGGGGCAAAAGGAGGCGTGCAGTTACAGAGATGGCTGCAGCGCTCTATGGGGGGGCTGACCTGCCACGGGGGCACCTTGACGCCCCTCCACTGGCCCCCCATGCGCCTCCGAAGTCCGTCCCGCTTCTCGACGAGACGGTTTCACCTGCTGCCTGGGCAGACGACCACGCTCCCTCTCGGCAGGACCCGAGGGGGGGCTGCCCGCTAGGGTTATAAACAACAAAACAGATGACGTATGGGTTCTACGCACAGAAATATGCCAGACGGCATCACCGCACAGCCATGTTACAGCTCGAGCGCAACAAGCGTATTGACACCTTGGTGCCAATGCCAACACAAATGAGCGCTATAAAACCAGCGTGGCAATCTGCAAAGCTGGGCAATACATCGGGAGTTTGGGACTGCTGCGGTTGAAGAGACTGAAACACCTTCAAGGAGAGAGGCAGGACCTTGGAGCAAGCGTGTGAGACGGCAGCGCAACAGCAGCAGCTGAGATTTTCAGAGCTGCGTAAGCGACTGAGCGAATGACTCAATCCTGCAGATGCTTCTGAAAATTCTGCTGCACGCAGTTCAGTTTATTCATGCATGTGTGGGAGAGGGGGAGGACTGTGCAGATTTTAATAACTACTTGGAGAAATAAAAAGAACAAACGTATTTGCTCTTTACAACAGAGCAAAAACCCCTCTGAAGTCTATTGCTGTGGCTGGGGAAGGGCATACAGGAAAGTTTAGATCTGGTGGTAATAGAGGCTGCATGCAAGGGTGACCAAACGGGCTACTATACAAAAGTCAAAAGGAGCAAGAAAGAACAAAACTGAAGAGAGACAAAAAAAAAAAAAATCACATCTCTATCAAACTTTTTCTTTTTAAAAACCCTCTACACTACAGTGTGTTATTTTTGGCTTAAGAGGATTTCAAACTTCACCATAATATACCAGGAATCCCGGATAAATGGGTAGTCAAGAACTTCAAAGAGCTTAAAGGCTGTAATGAAAGCCGAGACTTCATCCTGAGAAAACAGAGAAGAAAGATCGAGGGGAAAAAAAAAAAAAAAAGATGTTCCTAAAACCACAGGTCTGATTTTTTGAGTGCTCCAACACACCCGCCCCAACCCGATGGCTTGACCAACGCCGCCACGCAGGCCACCACCGTCGGGTAAGCGTCTCCCAACTCTGCAGATCCCGCACTGTCCAAAATCAGGGGTAGCAGAGCGGCCCACAAACACCCCAACGCCATCCGTAACGACAAAAAAATGCAGCCTGAAGCTCAGCCACCTGCCACAAACGAAAGACACGGGTCCCGTCCCCACAACCTTGGATCTGGGGTATGTCTTGCCGAGGGCGCTGCCAGACAGGGCGAAGCGAAGCTCCCGAGGCGCAAACCTCCCCGTGGCTCCTAACGGGGTGCGCTGGGACTACCTGCACGCTAACGACGCTACGTAGTTTCCTCCTCTTTCTCCAGCTGAGAGTCCCCCCCAATAAGTTTCGCCATGGCAGGGGGGTTATCTGTCACCTCGCTGGGGTCAGGCAGAAGGGAAACTATTGTTGAGTTTTGGCTCTTTGCTTTGAATGCGGCGGTTCCAGCTGTTTGGAGGCAGCTGGAAGGCGGTCGGTCCAGCTCTCCGCCTGTAAAGCAGCGTACGCTTAAAGGCAACAACTTTTTCTCCCACTAAAAAGTACCCCGAGAGTCTCAGTCAACACCTGACTGCAAAAATTGAGTTTGCGGAGAAACATATGAGCGTGCCCAGCTCCCTATGTGCTGGATTTTAGCAAAAATATCCTTTCCCTATTTCCGTATTTCCCTTCAAGCAGCTACTTTTTATTGCTTCCACGCTGAATACTTCCGCATCTAACCCCACGAGCGCTGGCACGTGCCTGGATGGGCCTGGCACGTTTCGGCAGCCTCCTTCGCTACGAGCGCAGGAAAGCGGCCCGGGAGCACTTCCCCGTCCAGCAGAGCGCCGAGACGCCCGCGACTTTGAGGACAAACCCGTACAAAACAGTAAACCGCTCCAGCTCCAGCGAGCCCCCACCCCGTCCCGGCGCAGCACCCATAAATCACTGCTGGCAGGTAGCTGGGAAGCAGCTGCTGATGCTAGTTTTACTCCGGAGCACAGGAAGTCGCCTTTTAACCCTGCCTGCTGTTGTTTGTCTCTCCAAGCGGTGACAAAGGAACAGATGCGAACAACATGCCAACTGCCGGGAGGATCTGCTCCAAAGGCTGCCGGAAACCCGGCCGGACCCCCACCCCGCCGCTCCCCCCGCTCAAATCCCGCTCCCCGCTCCAAAACACCTTTTAACTTCTGGTCCTTCCCCGTGCCCCTTTTTTTGATTTCACGTGTCCCGACTCGCGGGACCCTAAAGAGGCAGGAAAGCGGCGCAAAGAAGATCTGAAACAAGCCACTGTCCGTAGCTGTGCAATATATACAGCACCCGGTGGCATCTGCTGGGCATCGCCAGGACGTCCCACCTTGAAGCCTCCCGCTACGCAGCCCCCACGCACGCTGTGGCCCAGAGAGGGCCACGATAATACCACGAACGTGCGCGCACGGGTCTGTGACTGGAGCCGAGCAAGTGCGCTGCCTAAAGCAGAAGTACGCACTGCCAATGTCTTTTCTCCTGCTCGTGGAATAGCCGTGATCGGATTTCAGTTTCATCCGACGTCGTCGCAGTTTTCTGCCTGCTTGTTTTTAAACCGTACGAGCGTAGCGGGGACAGTGTCTTCTTCTGTTTCAGAAAAGCTCCAAAACACATTTCAGACATCACCACGAGCTAAATATGAGCAGCTCGCTCCTACTTAAGTCGCTGCTGGGTAGGTGAGCTGCATGCGACTGTTTGCTCCTCCAGCTGAAAAACATTTCCTTGGACTTCCTATGTTCGCATACACAACAAGACACCTTTGAGTTGGCTTTTGTTGCTACCGCAAAGGCAACTCCTCTAAGTTTGATTTCCCTGAGCATGCACCTGGGGAAGCAGTCACCCACCTTCTTCTGCAGGAAGCTTCTTAAGGCGAGAAGGACGGAAAGAAAGAGGTGTAGACACCACCCAGACCAGGCCATATTAAATTTGAGGGATGTTATTTGCTCAGGTCCAGCCCTGAGAACATCTGCTCTGCTCTCTCATGCTTTTCACATGAGGATAGGAAGCCAACAGAAACCCGACGCTTTTGCTACGAGTAAAAGGCAGGCAAAAGTTTACCTTCTGCAGAGGATATACCTCCATTAAATAAAACACACCCCTTGAGCAAACACGTTTAAGGCCGGAAGCCAATTCTGAGCAATAAAAAGAGCCCTTTCAAAGCTGACCCTGCAAGCCGTGGCACAACAGAGCAGGACGTCACGTGAACTGTACTTACTGTGAAGACATCGTCATCGCCAACCTCAGCCTCGTTGTGAAGGGTTGACGAGGAAGTAGTAGATCCTAGAAAGAAACAGCTTTGTTAGAAATACAAAACTTCTGTGCAACCTTCCCCCCCCCCCCATTAGGCTGGTAAACATGCGTATTCTGGCCACTTATATCTATGTCTCGAACAGCCATCTTCTCTGCCTCAACTCAGCAGCGGCGGGAAAGAGCTTTGCATGAGCAGCTCAAATTAAGGAAGGAAAAAACCCTCTACTGCTAGCTGTGTTGGGAAGGTAAAATCTGAACGTGTCTCTTGACATGTAACTGCGTGGCTGCCAATGCTAATTAGCAATGTTAAAAATAGCAATTAACATTTCCAATTACAGAACGCTTTCATTTCTGAAGCATGATAAAGCTACATACTAATCAGCGCTTGAGACCAGATCCTCAGCTGTCAAGAAACGATATGCGAGTTATTCTTCAGTTGAACATGTGTTCCCTAAAATTAGGGAAAAAGTGACTTTTCACTTAAAAAAAAAAAAAAAAGCTCACTTCAAAAGGGAAGAGTTAGGTTGTTTTTCCTTCTTGTAATTTAGGAAGTAAGTAAATACTCTAAAGGTTTTCTCTCTTTTTAGCTATTCGTCAGAGAATCATCTTTCCCCGTGTAAGCAAAGCACTTGAAAGGAGCTGAAATATGTAAAACCATAAACAAGAGTGAAATACTGAGCTGCAGTTCTGATTAATTACATGGCAACTGTCTGCAAAAGTGGGAAATTGTATCCAGAAAGCCTCCCTCTAACCTCCTTTAGCGTTTTATTTTTTTTAGTAACAGGACATTGAAACATTCTGGGTTTTTTTGCTTTCTTCTAAAGTGGCTGCATTTATAATTTAAAACCAACAACCCTCCGATAACTGCACTCCACGAGGCTGCAAAGGAAGGTTGGGTCAGCGAGCTGCTCTGAAAGGGCAAAAGTTAAAAAACCCATAGTTTAAAAGAAAATTTAAAAAAATAAAGATTTTTGACAGAAGCCCACTGTTATACTGAACTAGAGTTGGTTAGTGCTCCAACAAAGCAACGTACCACCCTCGTTCTGGAAATTGTTTTTTAAATAACGTGCTTTATATAATGCTAACGGCACCAGCCTTGACTGCTTTCACTGCGTAATCATGAAGATGCGCGGAGCTAAGTGTGAAAGCCCGCTGAAACAGTAAGCAACGTGAAAACATTCATGGCCGTTTGCTATATTCGCTTAGGAAAAAAAAAAAAAATCCAGGCGCTCTCTACAGAGCTGCACAGGAATACTGTACTTGTGCACAAAACTTCTACGCTTTTGCTACCACAGGAAGCAAGCCAAGGGTTAAACATTAATCAAAAAGCAGTGACTTCGTGAAGTGAAGCTTCAAACACACATAGCGTGTTGTGCTTCATATTACCCATTCAAGTTGATCAAATAAGTGCATAACAACAAATGAAACCCAAGGCCTGACATTGTGTGTGTGCGTGCGTGCGTGCGTGTGCTCGTACATGAGCTAGTTATTGGTTTTCATTCAGACAGCCTTATTTGGAAGTTAAGTAGGAACACATTCATGCGGATCAGCCTGTGCTCTGATGGCGATAAATATAGATTAGGTGATTTTGAAGCCTCTGAAACACAGAACTTGATTTTAAATACTTCCACCGGCCAATGGGGCAGCAAGCGCAGAGCTCAAGGTGCCGCATGCAAGCATCTCCCAAACACTGCTCAGTCCAGCTCAGTCACAATCCCCTTCCAACTTTGCACCATCCTGTGCCCCGATGGACACAGTTACGTGACTCAAAGAGCTTCCCAGTTGAAGCAAGTAAGAAGCAAGCGGAGGGCCTGGCCATCATCAGCGCGAGTTAACGGCACAGGAACAAGCACGTGAACGACTAGGTGAGAAGCTCTTTCCTCTAACTGATAAGGTGAGGGTTACGTTAAAACTAGGACAGCATGTCCAAAACCTAAGCTCTCTTATGGAGCAAATGTCCTGAAAGCTTAATACCTGCAAGCTAATAGTTATATATCAAGATATTCCAGTCTACAGGGTGAGAAGGAGAATGGCCTCAGACCACTCAAGTCTCTGGACAAAGCGGCACGGTTAAGAAACGAGCAGAAACCCACCGAGAACCATTACAACAAAATAAAGGAAAGCAGCACTGAATTATAGCTGCATTATGATTGTTTGACTGCAACGAAACGCGAAAAGGAAAAAGTTATGACAACTTCAAAGCACAGGCACGTCAAATGCATTTTTTACAGAATAAACAAAACAAAACAAAACAAAACAACAACAAAGTCTTCAAGAACTACCATTCAGCTAAGCGGGCCCAGACAAAACTAATTACGGCAAAAACAAAACAAAACAAAGTTTTATTCAACTCCACGCAGGGATTCATACTATGATTTAACAAAGACTCAGTAAAACTAGATTCTGCTGCAAACCGAGGCCTAAGCAAACCTGGACTTTTTAAAGTGGTTGTTCCTAGCGTCAAGAGCACACCTGCCAAAAAAGCACTGATAGACTGGATAATAATTAACGGATGAGATCTTGACGGACCAGGCCGGACAGGATTGGAAAATACTTGGACTTAAACCCCTTCTCTCCTTAAGGGATTAGAAAATGCAGTTTGCAGAGTCAGTTGGGGCTGGCTCAGCAAAGGGGGAAGCGGCTGACTGCACTCAGAGGCGCGGGAGAGACTTTCAAGCCGGAGGATTGACTTTAAACCCATCCCTCCTCCTCGATCCTTGCTCTAAGCCCCCTTCCCCAGACTCCAGAGGCGCGAGGGGGCCGCCGGCGCGCGCCGCGGTACCTTCGATGAGATCTTCGATGGCCTTCCTCACTCCTCTGTCGAACGCTCGCGCGTCAGCGGGGCTTTGGAAAGTGAGCCCAAATTTCCTGTTGTCCACTTTCCAGTGGTGGAAGGTAGGGTTCGCCTTCGTGTACACCAGGTCCTTCTTCACGAAGCACTCCAGCACCACCTGCGAGAGGGCAGAGGCCAGAGAGAAGCCAAGTTACTCTTCCCATGCCACAGGCACCGCTGTCACCACTTGGGCATTTTCCTTTCCCCACAGCAAGCCAAGTCACAGTTCGCCTTACGCTGGTAAGGGAACGGCCTTTGCTACCAAATTATGACCAAGGAACACCAGGCAGTTTCGTTGTTCCCGTAACTGTCACGCGTTCGTCGCTTCGGTGCCATTCGGGTAGGTGCTTGCTCGTCTCCCACTCGCACCCAACCAGGGCACGGCCACATAAGCAGGACACAGCTACGGGGCTCGGGTGGAGGGAGAACCTCTTCGCTCCGTTATTTCACTGCACAGAGGGGAAATCTGTCCCCCAGCAGGCAGGTTTAGGAGGCTCTGGAATCCCCGCCACCACCACCTTCCCTCCTCCTCCTCCTCCTCCTCCTCCTCCCCGAGCAGACACTCATTTCTGACTCTGCTAGGCTAAAAGCTGGTCCGAGCGTTCCTAGGGCGATGCTCAGGCTGTGGGAGAGCGGGAACAGCTCATTAGTCTTACCCCATTCCTCCAAAAGCATAAGCAGGGCTCATAAATAATGTCAAAAAAAAAAAAAAAAGCATCTTAAACTACATAATAATGCAAAAGACGAGCTGTGCTGGAAGCAGCTTGAAAATGCCAGTCCTTTGGAAAGCAGGATCATTCTCGGCTCGACTGGGACATTTCTTTGGCCCAAACACCGAGTAGCATGAGCCCGTGTAAGCAGCAGGTTTTTAAGCTAGCCCAGCTCTTGCCAGGCAAAGCTACTGGTGAATTTTAGAAGAATCACATCTAAGAAACCAGGGAGCAAAATATAACATCTACAATGGACTCCAGAAATAGAGAAAAGGCTTTGTTAATTCTGTTTGTGCAAGAAAGTGCTCTTTTTTAGATAACCAGCTACCAGAAGCAACTGAGTGCGTCAATTCACAAGAGACGTTCGCTCCCTCCGCGAGTTCGAACCCTGAATAGCAGGCAGCATAAATTATTCATTGCCGTTTTAAAGGCTTGCGCTGCATTACTCAGTACAATGTGATGGGCTTCAGGGATTCTTTACACTTCAGTTCACTTCTCACGGACCCCTGACGGACTGCTGAAAAACACAGGGCCTTTTCGAAGGCATCCGAAAGGGGTCTCTGCACACGGAGATGGAACATTTACCTGCGATTTCCAGGTGGCAGCGCGACAACCTAGACAGCAAGAGATGACAATTCAATAACCTTCTAAATGCGGATAGGATTGTTTTGTCGAATCTGGCGCTATTTTCAGATACCTTTTTCTTTTCTTTCTTTTTTTTAAAAAAACCTTGCACAAGAACACAATTGCATTAGATTTGGGGATAATGCCCATTATAAGAACAAAAGTTGAATTAGGTTCTATTACCAGTTTGTCTTTCTGCCTTTCACCATGGATTAGAAATCCACTTCTTCCATTGCCCTCTGGGTATGTGACCTTGCAGACGCCAACTCTACTGAGACCGCCTCCTTCTTGCGGCAACCATCCCCCACTGGAGTCATCTCGGGTCATAACCACAGCTTTGACTCGCACAATATAGCTGTCACTGCAACAGTAACAAAACAAAACAAAACCTTTTGTGAGGATCATGCAGTTGCATCCGAGCGTTTTTCTCCAGGGCAGCATTTAGACAGCCCTGATCCGGGTCCCGAAGCATTCGCAGAGTTTCTGCTGGGAATAGCGATCCACCTCCGCAACGGATGGTCATTACTGTTCCAGCCACCGTAGGAAAGAAACCCACTGAACAGCAGGAAATAGCCCAGCTGGCTTTCCAAATATCAACATGGAAATCAGATCACTAATGGTCCCGGAAGCCCTTTCCCTCGCATCGTTGGGGATGGGGACCTGGAAGACAGGGTGAGCCTTGCAGCACTCCCTGAAGGCCACCATCCCATGCAGAGAAGAGACATGAGCGCTGGACCACAGTAGTCCTGCAGCCCCCAGTGTTTTGGCCCGGCATGAGCTTCTCCAGACTGCCAGAGGTGCCACATAGCCCGGGAACAAAGCTTTTTAAGGCATCTGCCACTGAATTAGCAGAGTGCGCTTTGAGATAATGCTTAGAAATTCCTCCACAATCGGGACCACTGTGCTCCTTGCGGGAAAATCGCAAATGCACCTCCATCTGGTTGCAGGTGCAAGCGCACAGCTCGGCGCCTTGGGACCACACCACGCCTCTAAAGCAGCTTGGCCAGCTCTTCCGTGGGACTGCCAAGGCAGCACACCGCAACCTTGCGAGAATCTCTTCTGCAGGCAACTAAGGGATCTGAAGATGATCCAGGTACCTAAGCACAAAGGGGTCAAAAAAGCATGCGCACCCAGTGCCATCCGAGTGCCCTACGCAGGTCTCCTGAAGGAGGAACCAAAGAAAGATGCACGCTCCCACCAATGCTGGACACAAGGAAAAGTATAAAATGCACGCAATGGGAACTCGAGAAAGCAAAGGTGAAGACTGACGTGCTTCTCCCAAAAAGCTTAGTCTTTGTTCCCTGCAAATTTTATATGTGTAGGTCCAGCAGCTGGCATCACAAGTCCCTGGAAAGCAGCCCTAACTTTGGGCATTAAGCTATCCATGTGTGGGGCAGGCCAGTAGTCTGTTAAGCAAACACCCTAAAGAGAGACATCCTCTGCACCAAGCAAAAAGCACCAGGAGCCAAAGAACACGCTCAGTTCAACTCAGCATCTGCAGCACGGTGGAGAAGAAAGCCCAAGGCTCCCTCCCTTCACCCTCCCAAGCCGCTCCAAGGCTTTAGAAAGGGCCCCACTGGGACGGGACACTGCAGCCCTGCTTTAGCCAGGCCTCCTCCCTTTCCCTTGTCACGGCCATCTTACTTTGGTGTCCCATGAGGACATCACCAGCAAAGAGGTCACGCAGGAGCAGACACTTTGCTGCAGGATGTACACCAAAGTCACGCACCTCACACACAAGCTGACCTTTACCAAATGTCTTGGGTCCCTCTCCCCACCAAGAGCTGCTCACACTCCTCCTGCTGGCTTTAGCGGGCTGAGAAATAGCAAAATCCCTTTTTCTTCCTCAGATGGCCACCAAGTCCCGCTTTGGTAAAACTGCCTCTCGTTTTTAAGCATTATTTTGCATCCCTTTTATAATCCAAGTGCTATCATTTGAAGTCCGAGTGGTTATTTCTCTAAAATGACCACATTTTAATAGCTAAGAAATCAGCTGCACAGATTCTACTTTAAGGTACCCAGATGGCAAAACATTTTGAATAAACCGGACACAGGCTCCTCTTCCCCTATTCCCCCCCCCCCCAATTTGAAATCCATGCACAAATTTTAAAATAGACTTCAGATGTCCTCCAAATACTCTCTCATTTAATCCTTAACCTTCTGCTTACGGCAAGATCCAAACCCTACCAGTTTCCTCACACTAGTCCTCCTTCCTAAGTAAAGTCACCTGAGCAACCTGGGTCAGACACCCTGACACCCTAAAGCTTTTCTCTACATCTCACAGCAAAGCGGGTCTGGCAAAATAAAAAATAATCAAGAAGGAGCTGCAGGGCAGCCCTATGAGCTCTCTCACCAGGATTTCTGGTAGGCGAACCGCTAACAAGGAGAAAGGCGCTTACTGGAGTCATACCCTAAAATAGTACTTATCTTCATTTCAGACAAAGGAGGCACAGGAGTAAGGAACGGAGGTAATTAGCCTGATGCTAAGCAAAGTTTTTCAGAATGTTTTTGCTCTGAGTCCTTAAAACATCCTCCTGGTAAGGGAAACAAGACAAGTATGCTTACAAATGGATCCAGTTATTTTTTTTATTCTCTAACTAAAAATCATTTCTAAATTTCACCCATGGCAGCTCTAATCTCTTGGCTTCCTGATATACAGAATTAAGCAAATTACCACAGCTAATTTCCTACTGTGCCAAAATTGAGCTGCTTCCATACAGGGCAATTTTTGTTCTCTTCTCCTGTGTACTTTTTCCATATGTTCTTTAAAGATTAGCAAGTAACAGATAAACAACAAAGCAAGCTAACGGTATCTTTCCACTCCATCCATCTTCTGTTCCCCAAGGCTCCTTTTGGGGCTTGTTTTCATATTAACTCCTTTCACTGCCTTCTGGAGAACTTCCATTAATATCAAGCTCTTCTCTGAAGTAGGAGCCACCAAATAAAAAAGCCATCCATACAACCAAACGGCTTCTTCTCCTTCCAGGTTTGAGTATTACCACTTGCAATGTAGCTTCCTGGGGGATTTACCAAACCCTTTTACAGCAGCGTTCGGAGCCTTTGGCTTTCCCAAAGGCGGTGCTGCAAGGGCACTTCAGTCACTCTGTTAAGAAATCAGCAAGTACCCGGCACTTTTTTGATTTCCACCAATTATGTGTGTGTTCCCGCCACCCCTCAGTAACTCCTCTAGGCTCCATAATTGAATGCTGGTGGCTGCCTAGGTATGAAATTCAGGTTCTTCAACTATTATCCCCATCCACTGCAGTCATGTGCCAACGGGGCAGGGAGCTGTAAGGCTTTCCTTATCATATTCGTGCTGATATCTTGACCTACAGTTCTTTTACAACCTCTGCCACCAAGGCCAGCAATTTTATCCAAGTGCTCAACAGCTGTGTGACTAGATGGGACATCTACTAGGGGAAAAGACAGACACGTCACTAACTCAAACTGAGATAGCCCTACTTTTGCGTCATACTTTCTGGAAGTCAGGCTGGTTGGGCTCTCCCTGGCATGCTCAGCCAGGGACGCCTCGTGTGCCTGGTTCAAGCTCCCTGGGGGCTGGACTAGACGATCTCCAGTGGCCCCTTGCAACCTCAACCATTCTGTGATTCCGTGAGAAGACGGATAGGTTTTGGATCAGCCTTGGCAGCTGGATTTGCCTACAGCCAAGACGCTCTCATAACTTACACGGGGTCAGGGGCTGGGGAAAACAAGTCGGGACGGTAATTTTTTGCACCAAAAGAGTTCAATGGGGTAATTTGCTTTAATGGAAAGTGGATGGCTTCACGTTGCAGAAGCTCAGGTGGATCATTCATTGACTTTTCAAGAAAATGCGGTGGAGCATGAACTTAAAGGACATGGCCTGGGACGTGGAAAACATGTTAAAATTTCACTCATCTCCTCACTACCAGCTGCATTTATCTGCATCACCCCTGAACACCCAAGGAGAACACGACATAACCTGCAGTTCTTCTGTTTTGGAGAGCTATCATCAGGGGCCTTAAATATGTCAAGCAAGAAAAGCTACTTTCCTTCCCTGTCACAGCAAGAAGTGCAATCACCTCTGTTCTCCTGTTAAAAGAGGACCTTGTTCAGCAGAAGGGTTTACCTTTGGTAAGGTAGGTAGAGCTCCACTAACGCAATCCCCTGGCACGCTTTTCTAGATGATCAAAAGTCACAGTGACGCCGCACTCTCCCGAGAGCCCAGGATCTGCTCCCGCCTGACTCCAGCCACAGACGTCACGTTTCCCAATATGCCACCTATGCTAAGGGACTTATGACAAAAAAAATAAAAAAATAAAACTAAAAGCTTGACAGGCTGGTTGTGTCACTAGACCAGGACAGAAGCTGCAAGTTGAATTTTCAAGGCTACACACCACTTCCCTTAATTTTACGGCAAAATCTTTTCTGCAGTTTCCATCCATAAGCCTAGAATAAGCAATGCTGCTTTCTCTCGCGCCAGCGCCGATAAACACTTGGGAGGTATTCAAATCCTTCAGCGAGAGGTCCATATAAGGACCGTGCTTCCTTAGCACAAGAGCTGTTTATTTTCTTTGTGATTTAACTTTATGGGAGCGCACAAAGGCTCTCACTAGTTGCAAGCCATCAAACCCCCTCAGAGCTACGAAGCAATCTGCAGATCCCACGTGGGCACTACTGGTGCGGAGGACCAGGGCGTTCCCACTTCAGAAGTGAAACAACCTTGCTTAAATCAGCCCCCTTCGCTTCTATCGCAGCAGGCACGTTTCAGGAGAAATGCTAACTAAGTATGTGAAAATATCTGATTCATTTCCATTAATGACATACTGATTGAATGAAGATTAGATAATGCACGTCTTTCATAGAGTTAAAAACGAGCAGCTCAAGGAGCCAGCAGTAGCCTTAGTGCCCCTCATTTTATTGCCTTCTAAAAATTTAAGACTGCTCGAATTGTTGGGTTTATAGCCTACATACTAAGCATCTCATGCAAACGATTCTTAATCACGCTCTTAAACGGCATACTTTGCTGTTTTAACCCTAATGATTTGTCTTAAGCAGTGTTAAAAGCTTTGGAAGAAAGCATCCGTGCGGATTATCCAGCTGCATGGAAGCGAGCCAGCAATTTCGATGGCTGTTTGAGGTTGTTAGTTGGCCCCACCCAGAACAAAAACCAGAATGAACTTGGGGAGCAAAGGTAGCGCAGCAAAACCACAGGCTGTTTTTACTGGAAGCGAGACAGAACCCTTCAAAAATTATAGCTCGTGGGTGTGTATATACATACATATATATGTGTGTGTATGTAAAGGCGTACGCGCGCGTGTGTATGATTGTTATTCTGAAGGATACTGAGAATTTTTCTAAACAAAAAGCGAATGAATGATA